TGCTTACGGTGGCCGGAGATCGTCTCGCGAAGAAATAGACTCTAAAGTTTGTCGTCACTTCAGCAGCTGTAGCCAAATGCCATTTAGCGCTTGTCTACTTGTAGAATAGAAAACTAAATTATATGGAATTGACGTAAATACTGACTCATGTCATCCCCATACATTTAGTTTTCTACTCTCTCTGTAGACAAGCGCTAAAGTGGCGTTTGGCTAAAGGCACTGATAAGAATGGGAAATCAGGTGAAGATTTACCTATTTGTTATCTAACTTCGCAGTTGCTACACGTTACGAGTTCGATTCTCGCATGTAACATTTTTGTTATTTCAGGTGTGAATTTTTGTTTGTAAACACACACTTTACAAATGAAAATTCTAGTATTAGGATGTAAACTTGTTAGAAAAACTGGAAATCCATTAATCGACAGCTGCATATAGCTCGCCATATCAGTTAAGAAATAATTAAGTACCAGGCGACTATAAGACAATGGAATTTTTGTTAAAAGGGGTAACGTCAGCTTACACTATTGTATAAATCTGACGAGTTTGTTTGTGTGTTTTGAACGTGCTAATATCTGATACTGCTGATTTGCTTTTTTGATATGATTTATTTTGTGTTCATCAACAGCTTATAAATGCTCACTGCCGAGGAAAGCCTCTTCTCACATGGAGATGGTTAGAGCATTAATCACCACGCTTGCTTAATGCGGGTTGGCAATTTCAAACTTATAATTAGAAATTATAAGCCCAGGTTTACATTTAAATAATCTTAGAAAGTACATATAACTCGGAAAAAGTCACATTGATACTTGCCGTTGGTAGGTTTGAACCCGCACCCTCGTGTCGTGCATGAGAAGCAGGCGTCTTCAACCTCCGGGCCATCACGACTAGTTATTTATTTTGTTTTGGGTAGTCCATTTTCCAAGGAAGATTATGGGCTATAAAACAGCGTACTGCGACCAATAGGACCCAAGCAGTAACTAATTATATTATAAAAAAGAAATAAAAACACTTATCTAAAGAGTTTCTTTTACTCTTCCTGTAAGTTGAGTGGTTGAATGTAAACACAGCGCATTTTATTATTACAATAATTATGCAACAATGGCCGACAGAGATCACTACTTTCGCAAAACATTCTTATTTTGATTCGATTACAATTTCACATCATCTTGTGTGTGAAAATAAGTTTAAATAAATACAGAACTGTCACTGTCGGACTTACTGTCTACACTACTCTTTAAATAATCCTGCATTCAACATAATATGTAAGTACATGGGACGACATAATAAGATGTCTCTCATTCCGATTACCCAGTATTAGACTACATCTCATTATCAAAGATTTTTTATTGTTTTTATCGATATCTACTCATCTTTCCTTTGGTCGTCTTCTTCCTTTCCATCTATCCACATTTAAATTCATCATCAGTTCAATAAACTACTGAATAATGATAATTTAAACATGCACTTCTCGTTACTCTAATAGCTACTATATGCTTATCAACCTCTCCTACATTTAAAGGAACCCTTAAGCTAAGATAGGTGATATTTAACATCCTTTTTGTTTAATAACCTATAAGTGACACCTAACAGTACAAGTAAGGGGTTAACTTAAATGCTATAATATCACGCTAAGTGAGTTATAGTTAATTGACAGTTTAGTGTTGATTGGTAAAAAATGGTCATTAGATATTTAAAATTAAATACATTTAAACTGAGTTGAAGCGGTTTTTAATTACATATCTATCTCTGCTACCGCTTCGAGAAGTAAAAAGCGTGATATTAAATATATTTATTTAACTTGAAATATAACATTATTTCACTTATAAGTAGGTATAATTTCTCATAGCTTGCAAGGAATGCTTAATCTTATGAATGAATAAGTAATAATAAATAGTGTAAAAGAAATCCTCTCATGCATTGTAGTTGTAATAGCTTTGTTCTTACCTACTTAGGTAGGTATCAATGACACTGTTAAAGTAGGTATACTCCATAATATTATGAAATCCCATGATTTATAACGACTCTGATTATGTAAAACCCTTGTTATATTTTTACAAACCGTGAAATTTGCATAATGTTGGTACCTACTTGGATGAAGGAAATTGAGGAAAATAATGAAGAAAATTATAGTTTTTTTTTTGCGACCGAATTCAAGTTGCTACGTATTGTCCTACTTTGGCAGAATACGTCTTGCGTTTATATTGATTACAATTATTTTTCACTAGAATTTTTCTTCGTGTGTATGAGATTAAAATACTATTTTGCTTGTTAAAACATGTTTTATCTGTTTTTCCTGTTGGCTTCTCACATAACGTACCTAATATATACACAGGTACCTAATAAGAAATAACAAGTTATTGAATCTAAGTTTCATTTAACAATAATTTCTATACCTGATGATGTGTAATGAAGACAGTAGCAATATTTATTTCTATAACTTTATACTGAAACAGAATGCTACCTTTACCTATAATTACGTAATATAGATTACCTACATACGTAGGTATATCTACTTACTTCATAACTACTGAAATTGATTGTAATAAAGCTGAAGCGTTTGTTTGTTTGTTTGAATGCGTTATTCTCCGGAATTACTCGTCTGAATTGAATATTTATTTTTGTGTTGGATAGTTCATTTATTGACGAATGCTATAGGAAGGTTAGGAAACTATCAATAGGAGCTGAGCAACGAGTAAGTAGTATCGCGCGGGAGCAGTTACTATAAGACTATTTTTAATCCGAGATGTAGTGTATTAATACCTCTATAATACTATATAAAATATTTGGTTTTTACGTAGGTATGCAGATGCATCACAGTCACCGTCAGTTTTTACAGTCATTTGAATTGTTATTGTGAAATAATTCGAAATAAACGCTCCGTTATATAACACACCAATTATTATTTGCTACTGTAGTAACTATCATGATTGCTAATCGGTATAACGATTTTCAGATGTGTTCATGATATTTGAGTCGTAGTTCGTAGAGAATAGAGATTTACGAAATACGTTCATAGAATAGATAGGTAGGTATTTACCTTTTTTAATACTTTTTCAGTACCTAGATTTTTTTTAATTCGTGTAAAATTTTATAATGCTCATTACTTTGTATAAGACTTTTATTATAGATGTTATTTATTTTATTGCATTAAAATATTTGTTAGGTATAATACCGGTAACCAAATATAATTGTCTACTTATGTCATAAAATATTGCTTGCTGAAATGGACAGCAGAGTTTTAGGAGTAGGGTCCGGTTTTCCTCGTTTGTAAGATAATCCTAAAAACAATCAGCCGAACATAGAACCTCCTCCTTGTTTTGAAGTTGATAACCAACAGAACCTATAAGTACCTAATTTAACACAATGCTACGACGTCGCAGAGAAAGGTTGTAAGTAACCATTCGTAATTTTCAAAACATACTTCCGATATGAATGAAGGAACACGTCAACGTAAGACTACATATAGAACGTGCTCTAATACTATGTTATACAATGTGTTTCGGTTATACACTGCACGACAATTGTTATGACCAGGGTAGTAAGACCCTTAGACAAGTAACCATTGATTTGTTATAGGACTTCATTCATTTTGGTCGGTATATGTATTGTAAGTACCTGCGTAAGTAATACTGGGTCTTATTGTAGTACCTACGTTGCTAATGTAATGTGAATATCAATGAAAACTCTTTGGTCGACTTTGATTCTGCATACTGGCTTGATATGAAAAAAACAACATTGGTTTATGAAAAAGGAAAAAAAACATACTTAGTTATGATTTTATGAACGAACGAAACTTTGCACGGGTTTACAATTTCGGGATTTATATTCTTCAACAAATTGGAGAGGAATTAAAACGTAGATACCTAAATATACATAAAATCGTTTGAGGTAAAAAAACAAACCGCACGTGCTTGTTAAAGAAATGCATTACTTTTTAACACTCAAATTCACATAGAAGTGGCTCTTTTTAAACATTAAAAAAAAAACAAGTTTATTTCTTACACAATGACCATGACCATTGAACTGTATTTAACTCGCTATAGGTCCCTATTATTATAGATACTCTACGCTAACCACAACTTTTTTCTTTCTCAAAAATCAAGAAACAAATAATTAATGTTCGTAAAAAATTTGGTAGGTAAATAATGAAATTAACACCCAACGCGAACCTATAAAAAGAAGGTAAGATAAATTATATTATGAGTGAAAAATACCTAGCTAATACATGATTATAGAGGTAGTAGTAACGCAGGTTTACCTACCTATTTATTGCAAAGTTAGTACGATAAGTTTTTGCACTTGGAATTTTAAAATTGATTAACCTGATAGTTTGAAAATCGAAATAAAAAGGTGTTATTACGAGACGTGGCATAGACTTAACCTTATTCTTAACACGAATATTTCATTAACAATCGAAGTTAATAAGAAAAATAGCATTATTAAATGGAAAATAATGGTAAATTCATGTGATTGAAGCATCGCAAGCATGTTTCCGATAGTCTCAGTTATTACAGGCATTGTCTTGCTTTTCTGAACCAATATATAATACCTACATTTTTTTTACAAAGAGCAAAGGAAATGGTCGTCCCTAAATCGAGTGATAATTTTTTTCAAATAAAAGAAGTCACTTTTAGAATGGTTGATTTAATTAAATTATAGCCATTGTGTCGGTAACTGTATCCGAAAAAAAGTTTATTTATATTGTTATTGACGATTTACACTATCGTTTTACCGTTGTTTAGACTAAAATTATGAGTTGTTTTTAAAAAGGCCGACAACTTTAAATAAATATTTGGTTTACCCATCACAATTATTTGTTATACCCTTCGGCAGTTTTTTTGCATTTTGAATAACCCTTCAGCAGTTCAACCGTTTAGTAGTAGGAATACTTATTTCACAAGCATGATGTTATAAGCGCAAGTTTACTTCATATTTTTTATAAGGGTTTATAAACTAGTAACCAACATTAAAGCTAAACCGTTTAAAAAAAATAAGACTTACCTTATACTTCATTTTGAATAAAACACGTCCCCGTACAACAAAAACACAGCACTAACAGTTGCAAAAAATAATTGTATAAAGTAAAAAAAAAGATTTGTCATATAAAAAATAAAATAATAAAATAATATCGTCAAATCGTTTGTTTGAGATCGCGAAATATTTTGGCGCGCAATTCACGATATCCGCGCATGCGTGCAGTGCGGCCGCGCGGTAATGGCTGCGCTTTACGCGACGCGACGGTTTTGCTTCCCCGCCATCGAAGTGCAACGACCCAATACTGCGCGCTCAAGCACTTCCTCAGCGCGATGCAATGAAGGTGAAGGTAAAAGGTGAAGTGCGAAATTGTTGCCGAAATGACCACCTACCCACAACACGATAAACAACCCAATCAACCGATAATGCGTTTCACGCAGTTTCACGGTTTAATATTGCAAATATTTATTGAGACAGTGACCTACTGTAGCTTTGGGCAATTGATAATAACGACAGCTTGTAACTTAATTTAACCATGATTTTACGATTTTTGTGTGAAATCAAGTACCTAATGATGTTTGCTCGAGATTCGAGGGGTAACTGAAATCATTTTATGAAACATAATTAGGTGTGCTAGTTTTAGCTGAAATTTAATAATAGGTACCTATCAGAAACAGTGGGTAGCTATCGGCATTACTGAAAATTATTATACCAAATATTATGAGTAGGTGTCTTAACAACCTCGTTGGTCGAGTATTCGCAAGTGCGACAGCCAGGCAAGGGGTCTCGTGTCGTCGCGGACAACCTAACGGGTAACCGGGGCTCCGGCTCGACGTGCAGGAGAAGAAACGGGGTGGTTTTTAGTCAGTAAGAGTCTGACACTCCCTCCCGCCTCACCCAGGCGGGAGCAGCCAATCGATGATTTTCCCCCTTTAAAAAAAAAGGGGGTCTCGTGTTCTATTCCTGGGGCGGGCAAAGTATTGATAGGTGTTAAAAAACTTGTCTCACTTGTAGCACGGTGTCTGAAATTGCGCCCATTATATGGCAATAGGCTGACCTCCAATTACATGGGCTTATAACATAAATAGTGAAACTTGGGTGTTACATTGTACCTTCTGGGATAAAAGGCGTGACGTTTTGTTATGTGTGTTATGTGTATTAACAATACCTACCTGGTTGTTTTATTACATGAAATTTCTTACAAAGTAATAAGTAGGTACCTAGGCACTAACTTTGTATGTCACCTACCTATCTAATGAACTTTACTTGGCATGGTATAGGGTGGAATACGGGCACGGCAGACGGACCACCTGATGCTAAGCAGTAGTAAATGCCGCCTGTGGACACTCGAAGTAGGTACCAGAGAAGTTACAAGTGCGCTACCGGCATTTTGGGAGGAGGAATTAGGCTTCCGGGCCTCTTGTGTAACCGCAAGTCTTTGTCTCACGCCAGTTTTCCTGTGACGCTGTGATATCAATCCAGTCGAGCCACCCAGCTGCCCATTCGTGCGAAATATAGCTCTCCCACGTCAAAAACGTAGTAAAGTTAAAGTGATAAATAAATGCAGAAAAAAATAATTTTATTTTTATTCGACGAAGACATTAAACAGTGAGATAATAGTAAGGTAAGTACGAACTATTTAAATCTATGATTTAAGATATCCAGTTTACCTACCTACCAGTAATACCTACTATCTATTATTACTACAGTAGTGCTTACCAACTCGTTGAACCTAATTAAGTATTTACAAGAGCGACTACTGAGCAAAGGAACACCACAATTCCCTTCCCAGATCGATCAAAGTCCCTAAGTAGAGAATTTTTGCATACTTTGTAATAAAAATCAAAAAAAAAATCTTCAGCAAAGAGATGTTTGACGTCATATTCAAAATTTTTACAGGGTTGGGAAATCTATTACATTAGGTTTGTTTCGATTTTTAGAAATTTTCTCAGTGTTCAATACATGGTATCATGGAAACATAGAATTCATAAAATATCTGGTGAAAAGCGGGAGTAAAGCGCTCGTAGACGTCCGTTTTTCAGTGGTTAACGGACCGATTCTGGTAAAGAACACGGTCTCCGTTGTCCAGTGGATGTGTATAATAAGCACTCTAACGAACCCCTTTGGTAGTAATAAAGCGTGGTAAGGGTTAAGTTACTATTACATTTGACTAAAACCATAATACCCATTGATGATCTAATTAGCTTTTTGTAGACATGCCTGAAAACAAGGACGTTGGAAAATAAAACAAAAATCCAAACTTCATAGTCTATGCTTGATTGTCAATGATGACAGTTTGACATCTGAAATTGTCTATGTTCATTTCTATTTTTTTTTAATTTTATTATCTATGGTTCGAAGGACGCCCCTGTCTGAACTTCCGAAGCGTTCCCAATAAAATTATTTATAAAAAATGTGAAAATTATAATAAATACCCGATTAAATATATTGAATTAAAGTTGTGATATTAGTTTTAGTAAGTAAGAATCAAATTCTTGATTCAAGATGATGGAACACGTGCGAATATTTGATTGGTAAGTTAATTTTCGAAATACAATTTTGTCGGCGTCACCGACTCCCCGATGCAAGCTTGGGGTGCAGGCTTGGGGTAGATCGACATTTTTTATAGTTTAAAATATTGCACAATCGCCAATTATTTTCTTTGTTTTTATTTTATTTTAGGCTCAGATAGCCATTAACAATAAAAAATGCGAAAATGGCTGTTTTAAATGAATGTTAGACGTAACACACACACATGGTGTTTAGACGCATGGGATTGAACAAACCACTATGATTATTGAACACAAAATGTCGTAGTATGCTACGATACGCTGTGCATTAAAATTATCTTATATTACTTGAAATTGTTTTGATTATTTATTTTATGTACAAAAGCGAATTATATTACCTAATTTTCTTTCGAAGTATGTAGGTATTTAATATTATTAAATGAAAATTAGTACAACTACCTTTTATTTAAAACATAATTAAGCTAAGCACCTAGTCATAATAACTTAGATAATGTTAGTCCATCTCCAAAGTTTTGATATTTATTCAGCACTAGCGACCCGCCCCGGCTTCGCACGGGTGCAATATGCATATATTATACATACAAACCTTCCTTAAGAATCACTCTATCTATTAAAAAAAACCACATCAAAATCCGTTGCGTAGTTTTAAAGATCTAAGCATACATACGGACATACAGCGAAAGCGACTTTGTTTTATACTATGTATTGATTAAGACCTTTTTGTTCTAGGTGCTCCTCAGCACATGATAGGTACTTTGTAGAGGAAGCAGACTTAGATAATTGCAATACTGAAAAAATCCTGAGGAATAAGTTCATTGACCCTCTAGTATCTAGCGACTCTGAAGATGAAGCTCCTAAGAAAATTGACTGGGATGAAGTATTTCAAGATAAAAAGGTAAGTTATGTTGTTATATATGTGCTAACAGCTATTTCATTTATAAATGCCATACATGCTTTTGTCAAAAATATCTAAAAATTAGTCCAATAAATCTCATGAATTATTAATCATATGTGGATAATGTGCACATTCTAAAACTAAGAAATACCTATCAACCTTATTTTTTTTTTTCAGACTCACAATGGCAGATTGCATGTGCCATGTCTCCGTGGAGTAGCTCAGTACCCAAAGTTGTCTAAATTGACTCCTAACAAACAGTATCAGATGTTAAAGGTTTTATGTACTGAGAATCCTCATATTTTAGGAGATTTCTTTATAGGCAAGCCTTCCAGGCAGGACTTTAAAGTATTTGAGGTACCTACATACATATTTGTCTTGGTTACAAGTTTTTTCATTCTCTACCAGTAGGTAGACATAAGTACTAACAACATTGAATACTTTCAGACTGAAAAAGAGACATATTTAGCTGAACAAAAAGAGTACAGAGACTGGGCGAAGACAATCTGGACAACTGATCACTTTATTCGTGCTTTACGACCGAAACCATTAGTGGAGGCTGTGTACGAGGCAGAGTTCAAAATGAAAGCATTACGGATGCGCAGTCTACCCAAGCAATATGATTTGGCTGCTCAGATAACTCTTGATAGTACGAGGAGTAACTGTGATGCTGTGCTTAAACAGGAATTGATTGGTGTAAGGAGTATTTAATTTTTTTTGTTTTGATAATGTTGCCCCACACTGGAATTTTCTCCTGTGTTGTGGGTGTGTTTACAAACATCCAATTGGATTACACTAGATTACCTTAAATTATAACTTTAGTAAGAGAATATGAATCCAAAATTATTTAATATGTTCATGATATTGCTTTACCTTCAGGTGTCTCCAGCGGAAGTACCTTTAATTCAATTGCCAAGGAAAATAACAAAAGCAATCAATATTATTACACCTTGCACAGTGCCAGAGCCATGCCAGAAACATCCTTACCAAATTGTATTACCTCGTAAGTACATGAATGATACTTAACATAACTATTACTTTAAATTATCATTGATTTTCTTACAATTTCTTATATCTATCTACCTATTACATTTTACAATTTTTTGCAGATGAAAATACACTATCAATGTTGCCAATAACAGAGGTACACAAAGAGCTGGCAACCTTTGCATGGACCAATGGGGTACAGTACATAGCCAGTGAAAATGCTCTGAAGTGTCTTGTACAGTGGAACCGATATTGGACAATACCACTGTCTGTTTGTGAGAGCCTTAGTCCTGGTTAGTCTAAAATCATGTGTTATCTGGCTTTTCGTTCTTTGCATATAAATTCTCATAACATACCCATAATCATTCTTTTGTTATTAGATGGCGACAAAGCTAATGTAGTAGTATTGGACAGTGAGTTCTCAGTAAAAAAAGAAGTTGCACCAATCAGGACATACAAAGCGTTCAGACATTTACTAGAATCCACACTTATACCGTAAGTACCTAATACATTACATAATGTATTTTTTCATGAAAATATCATAATGGTAGTGCAATTGTAGCACTTGCAAATTATACTTTTTGACAATAATTTCTTATTATTTCATAGTATAAGCAGATAATTCATTTCCCCAGGTTAGCAGAAAAGGAGAAAGCAAGGAAGAATTATATAAATAAAGAAAAGCCAAAGGAAATAGGTGCCAAATTCTATGTGAATGCAAAATCTATATTTGAAAGCAGCGAGTTATCAAGTGATGAGGAGGAGGAAAGTTTATTTATTGATACAGGTGTGACATTAACTTTAACATACTATTTGTTTATAGTTTACTTAAGGTATTTTATCCTGTTCTTAATTAATGCGCTTTGTTTAGGAGAGGTCACAGAGGACTCACCAAACCCAAATAAGAAGATGAAGACTGAGGATAGCGTGAGAAGGTCGGCTCGACTGATGAGTAACGAGAGCATTGGATACAATACCAGGGCTGCTAGTCGCAGGGTCAGTGAGGAGTGCCAGGACATAGGAGTCTATAGCTGCACTTGTAAAGGTAAGCTAAAATGTAATTTAATGACACTTTGTATATGGAGCATTATATTTCATAGAGCATATCATTTTCTCATGAACATCATTATACTTATCATGTTCATACACCTAACAGATCCTACAACATAACCTACCTATGACCTTAAGTACTTTTCTTTGCTTCTACAACTAAATGTGTTTCCTGTAACAGATACGATCTATGAAAAGCCTCCACGTCGTTCCTATAAAAAGTGGCAGTTTAGAAACAAAACAGACAATGAACACCTCGACATTATCATACATTGTCCACACAAAGCAAGGGTAAGTAAGAAAGTAATTACTATTTTACCTAGGAATGCAATTTTAAATTGAATATTTGTATAATATTCTTGAATAATTGTCTAATATTTATTTATACATTGTTTTCGTCCTACAGGATGGCTCAAGGGAACTAATATTTGAACCAACACCAGAATACCAGTTGGATTTAGGAGCCAGTGAACAATCCATAGACAGCTTGCGAAGCGTCGCCCTTTCACTCGCGCTCAGGAAGAATGCTGCTGTAGTAAATGGTATGTAGCTAATATAATTAATTGTAGGCCACATCTATTTTAAATAGGATCCACACTAGGATTGTCGCTTATATTGTGTACACATCTAAAAATTATTATCATTTTATAAATCACTAAGTTTCAGCTAAGTTAGTGATTTCATACTGGAATGAGCCTTTACTCTTTACCAGTTCAGTTCAGTTGAAACAAATACTTTGAGAATACTATCACCAACTTTATCTTCTATAGTTCGCGTGGATGGATCGGGAGGTGACATAGCAACGATCGATCAGCTGACTGCCGAAAGGTTTACAAAAAAACACCCTGACATGACACGACAAGTCATCACCGCCGTGCATACCACACTCAGTCAGTTACAGGGGCTACTGCCTGGGCACTATGTACTGCTACATGAGGTATGTAACCAGACCTGTTTAATTATTATTTGGAACTTTTTTAACACCTCCCAAGCCCTTATCTGTTGAAACCAAGAGCTTGGAGATGACAGTCAAAATAAAATACTACATTTAAAATCCTCCCCATGCCTAAATCCCCCAAAACAACCGTAACGCACATCCTTTGGTGTAAGGAGTGTCAACGGGTGGCGCTAGCTTAATATGAGAAAAAGATTTTCTTTATACCCCTCAGTCAACACCGAAATAATTTGTGTTGTCAGCCAAGTCATGGAGCAAATAGTTTGCTTCTATCGTCCCGGTCTGGCCGTGGCGCTCGCCTACTGCTACAGTTCGACAGCTCCCAGCTGGCCGAGGCGGACGAAGCACGCATGGTGCGCAACCCGCCTATAATCAGCAATGCACTACTACCATACCACAAGTTAGTACCTTTACCATATTTACATATCGCTAATTGGGTCTAAAATGTGTTCTTTAGTATAAAATGTATATCTATGTTGTGATCATAAGTCATTTCTATTTCCATTTTCAGACATGGTTGTAGAAAATTAAGTTTGCGTTACCCAGGCCAGATGTCGAAAATGGTAATTTGCACCTTATATATAATTAGTTTAGCGGCATCTGTAATTGTTGCACACATTTTTCAATTTGTTGCGCTTATAGTTTTTTAATTATTTCGCAAAAGACATTTCCTGCTGGGATAACGTTACCCCAGCCAGACCTTTTTCTTTCTAATCGGAATATTTAAATAATTAGTAGCTATAGGAGGAAAGAATACAGCTATGTATTTTTTTTTAGTGCAGAACAAATTTAAACTGATTCTTAAGAAGCCACGTACAAAATATGATAAGAATCCGCTTAACCTTTTCAAAGTTCTAGCAAAACCAAAAACGTTACCCCAACAAGATCTCGAATAACTTCGCACCCAATAAAAGAAGAAATACAAAATAAGGCACATTTACTTCATCTAGATAATTAATTTTATAGGTAGTAATTATTTAAATGTTCCCATTAGAAAGAAAAAGGTCTGACTGGGGTAATGTTACCCCAGCAGGATATGTTTTTGTGAAATAATTAAAAAACTATAAGCGCAACAAATTTAAAAATGTGCGCAACAATTACAGAAGCCGCACAACTAGTTATTTATGAGATTCAAATGACCACTTTCGACAACATCTGGCCTGGGTAACGCACACGAAAATTTATGTGTTTTCGTTCTAAAATGTGTTTGTTGTAGTACTAGTATTTTCTTTTAATGTTAGCACACTTTCAATGTCTGTATCTCTTGTTTAAATTATTACATATAATTTATTAATGGGTGTATTCATTCACACTTCAAACTGCACTAACCACAACACTAAATATCATACAAATACCATGATGTCTTCCAGCCACTCGACACTGCTTTTCTCTGTCCCATGCAACTAAGGGCCATATCACATTGAAATTTTGGCGAGTGTTTGCATCCCTCGCCAAGTTCCAATGTGAAAGGGGTCTTAGCAAAAACTGGGACGAAGTTATTGTATGAAGAAATGAAGATAAGACCTGCTTAAATGAAATTACATCGCTGCATTCACTCATTCTCGTCGTCATTTCATTGTGTCCGTTTTCTAAGTGTTTAAATGTAACCAACCGTACTGTATGCTTCAAATAACCGTCGCTCTCGAGTTATCTTGAGGTACCATTATCTTTATTATTTATTTTCAACTTTCTTATTTTGTACCTCGTTTACTAAATAGTATCAATAACCAATCATAAAATTTACGATACAAGTGTTATTTTTCCTTGCAGAGTGTATTAGTATTAGCTTACTTACCTATAGATGGTTTATGAGGCTGGCCATAAATGAAAACTTAATGAGAGCGACTCGTTATTTGAGGCGTACTATTGCTTATAATTGTTGTCATATTTTACTAACCTCTTGTTCTTGGGATGTCTATACTTTCTGTGCTTAAGTATTATGTTAGAATATTTCTTACAGCTATAAATGTATGTAGTATGTAGGATAATACGGGAGTAAATAGCGCACAATTTTGATTTATCTAAAACAAAGTTTAATGTTATCATCAATTGAAACACATAAATCAATTAAGATCAAACATGTACACATTACCAATACTAACCTAAAACAGAAAAATCGACAATTAAAGGTTTTTACTTCCAATATTTCAGTAGATCGACGCTGTATTACATTAATCAGTTGAACAAGCATTTTAACTTTTCTTCTATAAAACTTTAAAACAATTAGAAAATATTACAATAATAAATCTACCCGAGATTTTGCATTCTATCAAAAAAGCGCGGGCTGCTGTCAGCTGTCACTGTCCCACTTCGTGTCAAACGTCATTCTTATTAAGCGACGAACACGGAGCTGTTAATAAGGCTGCGCACACACATTATACAAAGCATCCTACATGTATTTTGTATTTAGTTTATAAACTAAACTTTGTATACCTACTGATGTTTAGTTTTTTTTATATTTTGACTTTTTAATAACTAAGTCAAATGTTTTATTGCCTCATAAAGATAGCTGTATTGTAACTTCTCTCTCAGATACCGTAAAATCCTACCCTGCGCCTTCACGCCTTACGAGTCACAATTAGCCAAAGAGATCAAAAAACCGGCGACTAAGAAGAAAACCCCACCACAAGCTCTCAAGGTAAACTTCTAAATTAACTAGAATGTTCCATAACAGGAGGGTAAAGTATGGAGTACACCGTGAAATTATTTACGATTTTATTCCGTTGTAGTAAAGTTCAAACTGGAAGTATTTATATGATTTGAGAACAGAGTAAAATGTGTTTTAGAACTAACATTTATTTTGTAAGTACTACCAATATGAATTTATTTACTGTTTTGGAAATGTAACTAAATAATTTCATGGCGTACATGTACACTATGCTATCATCACTGTCCATCAAAGGATGTCAGCACGGTGTATCAAAGTTTGACGGCACTTACCAACCCATGGTAATTGTCGCGGGTTCGATTCCCGCACGGAACAGACTTGTTCCGGGTCAGGAATTTTGTTCGAGACATCGATCGCCGTTGGAGAAATCCACGGCGGGTGTGTTGGTAAAGTTATTCGCAATAAATAATCGACTTGTCCACGTTATGTACTAAGAGTATATTCAAAACGGCAGCGGTCAATTGACCTGCAGTGAACCTTGGATTCAATTCCAGGTGTAAAAAAATACTATTAATTACACATTCCATTGACACATTTGTTACACAATCTAATAAAAATCAATAAAATCTATTAACAAGTAACATTTCCCTCTAAATAAAGGCTCAATCTGATGAAAAAACGTAATTCACTAATCGTTTTAGTGAAACCAAAGTTTAAAACTAGTCAAGGCTAATAAAAAACCCGTCCTTATGACATCTGCCATTTTGAGTATAAACTTAATGGACAAAGCGTGAATAGATCGAGTTTGCACTGAAATACGGGTTTTAAGTTTGTTTGTTTCATGTAAAACTAAGAAAGAAAAGTGATATTTTGTCATAAGTGATTATTTAGTCCACAAAAACACACATGTAGATATTTCACGTTTACACTTAACGCATCAAACTTTCAAGAATTTAAACCGCATCATGTCATTAAAATAATCTAGTTTTCTTTCATCAACGTGTTACCGTTATTCTCCTTGATTAGTACTTAAATTACCGCCCAATGTTTTGACACAACAATGTTTTCTCAACTTTAAATTGAATTCCAAATCACATTCATCATCATCAGCCTATTTTACCCAACCTATAACACATCCTAAATAGCGTTCAATAACAGACCTGTGATAAAATATAACTTTCTTTCTCTCATTCCTAGCAACAGGAGACTAATGTTCCTTCTGGCCTGAATTTTCAGGTGGTTTCATGAGGAATATCGGATATAGACGAACTGAGGCAGTGTTTAAAATGTGCTTCCTATAGACGTCCAGCCAATGAGCCTCTAGAGGTGAGGTAGACGGCTATAGCTCACACAGGTCGCCCTTAGGATAGGTTCGAACGGGCGAACTTGTGACTAAACAATAAATATATGTTTTTGTTATCTTTTGTTTAACTGTAAAATAGGGACTACCCGTGACTTCGTCCGCGTGGATGAACGTGAATTAATACTTATAATGTTAATTCATAATTTTACATGGAGAAATTTTCCTCAACCAGGGTATAAGCAATATAATAATTTACTTATCGAAATTATGACGAACGAAACTTCTCCATGTAAAATCTCATCCGTTCCATTTTAAGATTTTAGTAGGTTGTATCAGATTTATCCCAATATCATTAATTTATACAAGTTCATCATATCATACAGTGTCCTAAAAGTAAACAAAACTGATATTATTTCTGAGCATTCATTCGTGAGTATTTACTAACTAATATAATATATGTAAAATCGTAACATTTATTGTCACGATTTGTGGTTGGTTCGGTCACGCGGGCGAAGCTGCGGGCACAGCTAGTTCCCGTTGAGTATCATGTCACTCAGGCACATTTTAAACGTCAGCTGTCTCAGTTCCCGCAGGTACGATATTATACAAACAGTACGATGCCACGTACACGGAAGTTTGTTTGTTTCAAATGTGGAAATCTACTTGTTGTTAGTTGCAAGCGGAGCAGCCGGATAGCGAGGCCAGTCCAAAGGTACCATTGGGGTTATCCAACGAATTTGTCTTTCTTCCCGACGTAAAGTATCACACTGAGTTCAATGGCTTACAGAGATTAGCCTGGTAGTTCCACTGGGACCGGTAGTCAAATGTAAATAGTGTATACAACCACTATTTACATTAGTTCATCATGCTTTTATGTTTTGCTGCTTTATATACTTGTGTAATTATGTAATGTACATTTGAAACTTTATTTTTTGTGCAAACTGCTTGTATACATTGCCATTCATTCCATCTTTCCAAATCTATTTTGTTCTTAATGTATATATTTTATGAGCGCCTTGGCTTCGAATATATTTGCAAAAAACAAAATATCGAACTGCATGCCTGGAATTATACATTATGTTTATTATTTATGCGTTTGATTTAAACCTCAGTAGAACTATCGAACTAATCTCTGGATAATGTCGGTTTGCTGATTCGGATGGAGCACGATTTACTCGATTACCAACCAGCGCAATCAACGGAGCAGGGCTAAGGACGCGTAAGATAAAAAAATAGATTTTCATTCATTTTGACTGATGATTCAGTTTTAACTTTCTTTCATTTTCTGTGCATAATTATTATAACACATTCATTTGAAACCTCTTTAAACTAACGCGATCCCTCCGTTGATTGATCTTATAATTTACATCATACAGTAATAATAACTGTAGTATCAACAAGTTTTGGCCCAACAAATTGTTGGGCCGAACTATTAGCCTGCTTTTCTTGGCAGACAACAAGTTTCAAAGTAGGTTCTCCAGTGGCGGATCGACTGGATATAAAGGCTGTGCTACAAAAGCAAGCCCATATGGACTCAATGACTCAAGAGTTCCCCTCCACGGAAATACCAGAGTGTAGTGTTAAATAAAACCAGAGCAAAACGTATCGCGGCTGCTTTTACAACCTCTCATCTTTCAGATCTAAGAATATCAAAATCAATCTTAAGTTAATATTGAGCTTTGCTCAATGAATTCCAGTTTTGTTGTTAGTAACAACCACTATGGAGGCACTGAGATGTGCGTTAACTGCACCTTCGTACCATGATCTGCACAATTTTGAAATTATACTATTACTACTTTTTGCAAGCTAATATGCATTTTGAATGAAAATAAGCATCTTCTAGCCCTATTTTGATATATTCCAGTTATGAAAAATTAAAAGCTTCGTTTGAATCATAAATAGAGAGGACCATATCCGCCACTGAGATTTCCCTTAAAGTACTAACAAATACCTAATTAGGAAGAAGCAGCCGACTGATACTTAGAAATAAAATAATTTATAGTTTTCAGTGTAAAAAGATCAAACTTTGGCTTATTCTTTAAAACTCAGTTGTGCCTAATATCTTAATAGCAAAATATAATATAAAGGAAATAATTTAAATAAATAGTTTCAGCTTTATGTACGGTATCCGTTACCCAGGTCAGATGTTGTCGGAAATGTTTGAATCTTATAGATAATTAGTTTTGCGGCTTCTGTAATTGTTTCGAAAATTTTTAAATTTGTTGCGCTTAGTTTTTTCATTATTTCACAAAAAAAATGGTTGCCTGTAAAGTCGTTTTTACGGGCGAAGATTTTACGTGACAACGTCTTTTTCTCGGTAGAATATTTATTGATATGAATATAATTAAATTGCACAATAGGAACAAGGAATTGAATGAACTAGTGCTGCGCGCGCGGCAGACCGATCATAGTTGAGTGGGAGAGAGACGCAAGGCATTCGGCGGGCCTCTCTCTCGTTCGGTGACTCATCGTAACGTTACCGAGCGTTACACTTTTTCATAAGTGACTCCCAGCCGCACCGCAACCTAATTTAAGACGTTGTCACGTCAAAACATTTCCTGCTGGGGTAACGTTACCCCAGCCAGACCATTTTTTTTTTTGTAATGGGAATCTTTAAGTAATTTCTAGCTTTAAAATTAGTTGTCTAGATAAAGTAAATTTTGGGCCTTATTTGTTATTTCATCGGTTGCAAAGTTATTCGAGATTTTGCTGGGGTAACATTTTTGGTTTTGCTAGTTCTTTGGAAGGGTTAAGTGGATTCTTAATTTATTTATTAATTTGTAAGAAACCATGTACAAAATATGATAAAAATCCTAAGCGTTTTTTTTTATCATATTTTCAAAGATCTAGCAAAACCAAAAAAGTTACCCCAGCAAAATCTCGTAATTTCGCAACCGAAAAATAAGGCACAATATTTACTTCACCCAGACAACTAATTTTATAGCTAGTAATTATTTAAATATTCCCATTAGAAAGAAAAAGGTCTGCCTGGGGTAACGTTATCCCAACAGGAAATGATTTTGTAAAATAATGAAAAAACTATAAGCCCAACAAATTTAAAAATCTGCGCAACAATTACAGAAGCCCCAAAACTAATTATCTATAAGATTCAAATCACAATTTTCGACATCTGACCTGGGTAACGCACACTTATGTACATACAAAATAATGAGCCAAGGTTTGTCTTTTGACCACAGTAGTGGTATGGGAGTGTTATGAGGTTGTTCTTGTTTCAGTGGCCCAAGAGGAGGACTCGCAGAAATAAGAAGTAAATGTTTATTAAATAAATAATACATAATTTATTCATAATAATAATATATTTGTGTTTGATATAATCATCTCATTATAAATCTGTGATTAAATAAATAATGATTTTCTCTACTAGTGTTTTTCATGTAGAATAATACTTACAATCTAAGCTAACTAAGCAGCTTCATCGAAGTAGCCGTCCAGTTGTGTGGAAATCTGGAAGTACGTTGTAGTAGTTTGAAAATATGTATGAGAACCATAAAACGGCATGTTCTGTACTGTTCAGTTTCGCCAAAAACTCGAGAACGGCTGAACTGATTTAGATGAATTTACTCTAACTTTCATTACGATTGAAAGAAAATGGCAATGAAAATAATTGGCAAGTGGCGACTGACCTGCAAGGGAGTGTACTTGACATATTTGTCAGGGTTCTTAGAGAACGGTAGACCGGCGTAAGCGTCGTGGAAGGCGGAGTACTTCGGCAGTATGGCCTGCTTGTTGTCGCGCTTGAGTGCTTCGCGCAGCTCCGCGTCCGGCACGCTGTACCCAGTCTGTGCGCGGGATACTTCCTCCCATTCGCGGTTGAACGACTAAACCATACATAAATGCAATTCTCAAAATTCAATAATTATCAAACAATTGGTTTTTGAACAATTTTCTCATTACCTATTTAAAAAGAAAAACGTTGCGTTTACAAACATACAAGTTCACATACACATGACATAAAGACCCGAAGCAACAATTTGTGGATCACACAAAGTGTTGTTCCGTACGGGAATCTAACCCGCTACACGTTGCACGGCAGCCAGTTGCCCAGCCACCGCACCAACCGTGCAGTCAAAGTCACCTAATAGGACTTTTTACACACAACAGGGGCGATACAAAGATTTTGTGGCCAACTAGTATTTCTGTAATCTTGGAAATGAAATCGATTGATGAAATTGATTATCAAGTCAAGAAACTAAAAAAGTACTTACTGCAAACTTATCCTTCAACATCTGCCTATCCTTGTCACGCAGCTTGGCAGGCAAGGGCTCGTCTAATACTGTGTGAGCTAGAAGTTTGTTCCAACTGCAATAATAAGCAATAACGAATTAATATAGCTAAAAATAAAACCTTGATGTATAAAGAGAGCGTACCTACGCAATTTCATCAGTACACTACACTACAAATTGTTCAAGTACTATAATATACGAGGACGAGTCTATACAGAAGGATCAAAATAATACTTCACCTTTGCAAGTAAGCATTTTTATGTTCCTGTATCATGTCCCTGTAGTTGATTTCACAGTCTGGCTCAGCCAGCATCAACACGTCAAGCAAGCCACTTCGCTGAAGACCCTGGTAGGAAAAAAAACATGAATTTAAAAATAACAACAAAATCTTAAGTAGATAACTAATAAGGTATCTACTTAAGATCCTCTAGATTATATAACAGCTTTAACGATTTTAAACCTAATACAAAACTAAATAAAGAAGAAAAACATGTTACCTGTAGTAAATATAAAGTGTTGTTCAGCAAAAATATCGCTTTCAGTGCATCTGGGTACTGCTCACTTTTGGTTCTTAGCGCGAAATTCAGCTGCGCTAATACTTTACCTGTTGGTATACAATTGTATTTGTAATGTCAATAAAAGTGTAAAACAATTATCTCTATTGACACTCGAAGAACGAACTAGTTTTAATAAATATGTTATTGGTCTCATACAAAAAGGGTCAAGTTTATAAACTAGGCAATAGCAAGCAATCTAACGAATTTTGGAATTTACACTAATGATCCGATATCTCGACAGTGAAACAGTCGAATCGAAACTATTGACACGGGTATTGTAACAAAAGTTGATAGTTACGCATGTATACAGCTAACATGACAGCATTTCTATCGTGGACTCCCGACAGTTGACTGACTGCGCGGTTGTAGGATGGCTCCGTCGCGAGAGCGGGACCTGAAGTAAGTATAAACATACTTAATATTTTTATACATAATATAATTAGGCGAAAAGAAAGCAAATATTTACAAAATAATGAGAATGAAAGAAAGTGGAAAATCCTGAAGCAGTGTAGATAATTATTATAGAATTATAGTATTGTATATAGGTAATTATTACAGAATTATAGTAGTGAAGCCCCGTACCGATGGTGGCGATGTGCGCGGCGAGGGCCTGGCAGTGCGCCAGCGCGGCGGCGGCCAGCTGGTGCACCGTGCCGTCCACCGGCGCCGGCGAGCTGTCGCCGCGGACCCCCTCCACCCACTCCTCCAGGGACTTCACGCACTGCGACAGGGACACGTCGGTACTACAGCTGTCTAACACTTTTTGAAAACTATCAAAATCAACTTAACCAATAGCGAATTAATCTAGGACATACAAGTGTGGGAGAGCCATGCTTCGGCCTCACAGAAAACCGACGTGAAGCAACGCTTGCGTTGTGTTTCGTCGTTGTGAGTTGGGTTACCGGAGGCCCAATTACCCTCCCCTTCCCCAAATCCTGAATCCCCAACGATCCTCAAACTCCTAATCCCCAAAAGGCCGGTAATGCACTTGTAACGCCTCTGGTGTTTCAGGTGTCTATGGGCGACGCCGATTACTTACCATCAGGTGATCCGTCAGCTCGTTTACCGGCTTATGGCATAAAACAGTCAAACTGAGAACTACTTTCTTTCTTTTTTGAAGTTCGTTGAAAACAATATCATTCATTAATTCAATTGTTCGTTGTTTGGTTGTCATTGTGATATTGGTTTCTGCCACAATCGTCAGTCAGTACTTACATTCTGCTGGCAGTGCTGCAGTATGGCTTGGTATGGCTGTGGCGAGGCGGGCGCCAGTGCTCGCTCTAGTTCAGGTTGCAGGCGCTGTAGTCGCGCCAGGACTGCCCAGCACCCCGCCGCACTGCCGCATTTACTTGCCGAACGACGGGACTTCATGCATGCACGCTGGTGGAAAAAGAAAACACATGGAATATAACATACGCTCGAATAGCGTATCACACAGAATAAACAAGAAGCAGATTAAACCTATAGGGCGCTCTAGGTAAGCACCCTGATATGCGCGTATATTTGCAGACGTGTGTGTGTTGGACCTCTGGCAGCTGTGTGTGTCACGTTGATGTTCTGCGAGGAGGACCTCGACAGTGTGTTACAGGAGTAACACACTGTAACTAACATAGGTAAAGGCTACCCTGGGCGCCCTCCCGTGGCCCAGTGGCCGTACCTCCACGTCCTGCGCGAGTATGGCGAAGCAGTCCTTGAGCAGCGCGGCGAGCAGCGCGGGCAGGCGCGGCAGCGGCAGCAGGCCGAGCACGTGTCGCTGCTCGTGGCGCGCGAGGCGACACAGCGCGGCCGCGGCGCTGCCCGCCAGCTCGGCCTCCCACTCGTCCAGCGCCTCGCTGCTCTCCTCCGTGTCTGCCCGCCACCACACGGGAACGATCATTTTGGACTTTATACTTTTTCATCAAGCTCGAAACTTTACGATAAAAGTAATTATAACTGTTCTATCGAGCTCAAAACTTTTCGATATTATGGACTTTACTATCTCGCCATAACAAAAAAGTAAAACATGCGCTCCAGCTCGAATCCAATTTCGACACATTTTGAGCCAGATCAAAATGTTATGATCGTCATATTGCACTGAGTTGCATCGCAACCATATACCTAAAACTAACGAGATTGTAGCCTATAAAAGAATAACCAATGATAAAGTACTTACAAGTTTCACAAACAGATTTCCTGGGTCCTATAGCGAATCCAGTGGACTGCTCCAGAGTTTGAGATGCTTTCATCATTATCTTGTTTGCACGTTTCTCGATACTGCAACAAAAACATTGTAATGTAATAATTATTTAAGTATCAGATTAATTTTATATAAATGTTTTGTTCAAACTTACACTTTTTGCAATTTACTTGTCCTTCTCTGTGTGCTATCTGATCGATGTAACAGATTCTTGGCTCTCTGTAACAAAATATTAACAGTTTTAACTCACAAAATTGCT